AATATCCCACTTGACATAACTCCTAACATCAATCTCCCTGGTTTATATTGGCTCACTCCTGGAGTAAATTTTGAGATCCTGAGTACATTTTACAGAAGGGCTTCAATCCCCACCCTTAAAGTTATAAAATTGTAACCATCTATAAACTAGCAAAATATTTAATAGCTCATAAAAAAGTACTGTTATATGAAGAAGTCCAGTAAATTACTCTAATTCATCTATGAAAATAATGGTGCTGTATCATCACCTAATATAAAGTTTTCATTCAAATCTTCTCTTATTATTTTTGTGGAAAAGCCTTTTACAAATGGTTGTTTATTTTAGGATCCATTAAAGAATCACATTTCACACTTGACTGGAACAGCTCTCAGGTCTCTGAATACAAAATGGTGTCTGGACTACCAGAGTCATCTTTCCTGTTTAATGTCCACCTTCAGGCTGGGCCTAAAGTTTCCACTTTGTTCTAATCAGCTCCTCTCTCCTATAAGCTGGAAAATAGAGCTATAGGCTAACCGAGCTAGGTTATCAATCTGGGGCAGTAACAGGCAGTTAGTTGCCTTGGTAGGCCAGCCCTATATCCCACGTCTCAATGCCTGGGACTGACTCCCACCTCTGGCTCCTGACCTCAACTTTCCAGCACTGTAAATCCTAGGAAACATTCCCAAGCTCTCAGCACATGGGGCCCAGTCTAGCTCCAGTCACTGTGGGACAAAGAAACTCAGTCCCCCAATAGTCCCTCCCCTCAGCTAGCCCTTCTACCTTCACGTATACCACTTCTCCAATGATTTCAATGAAATCCAATTAATGGCTTTCTGTAATTCTAAGCTGATAAGGATATTATGCTTGATGTTAGCCAAAATTATCTAATATTAATACTCTGTAATTATAATATAAATGTTCCCTTCTATTATGCAGACTTGCAAGGCAATATACTACCCGAGAAATCTTTTTGCCACTAACCACTCTTCTTTGATCTCTTTTCATGGCACTTCTTTCAACAGCACTGGCAGTAGCTCTCCATCTATTTCTGCCTTCATCCACTGATTAACACATGCCATGAATGAGAACCCCTTCTCAAGCACTAATTCTCGACCAGCAGAAACTGCTCTCCACCTGACAGACCATCCCATCATCCTATCACTGACACCCAAAGCCAAGAGGCCTCTGATCTCTGAATTTCTGTCCATTTCACTTGTGGTTTATGACATGGCAATGAACTGTGTACTATCACCTACAATTGCATGTGTACTCTGTTTCCTCTGACCAGACAGCATTTCCTTCAAGGTAACTCCCTACTTTTAACATCACTTCAGAGGTCAGAGTGCCAACACTTAGTAAGCACCAGAAACAAACAAAAATCCCCAAACCATGGAAACACAACTTTATTTCAGACAATGTCAAAAAGAGATGAGATGAAGAAATGATTCATAATTAAAAGCTTAAGAAATATTGGGCAAAAGTTAACATGTAGTTTTAGGACTTTCTCCAACTTTTGATCTTGCTAACTGCTAACCTCCAGCAGCAGAATTTTCCAAATTTGTATTACCAAACTCTTTTCCACTTTCTATTGCTCACTATCAAAACCTATTAACTATTCCTTTCCAGGAAACACAACTGAGGAAATACTTATTAAGCAATTATTTTCTCCTACAACCTAACAAAATCCAGTGCGAGTTCTAAGGACATCGCACCACTCCAGGTTTTACCACGAATCCTAGCAGCAGCTCTCAATTAGCCCCAAAGCTATTAGACAAATATAATGTACATAATGTACATAACATGCATAATGACAAAAAGCTTAAGGACTCATTTCAGGATGCTTTTGAGTTGAAATTTTCTTAAACAGGACCTCATTTACAAAAATCTCACATATATACACCATCAGATCAAAAGGATATAACCTCATATTTATAAAACAACCACAAAGTCTTGGGTGTACCTTCAGTGGCCTGACACCTTCTCAGTAAAACCAAAAGTATCACAACTAAAAAGGATACACCATACTCCAAGAAGAAAAGGAAGATAAAAAATAAATTAGGAAAAGAGACATCTAAATCTCTGGGGGACTCACAAAGAGATCAATTCCATATTAAAGGTAAGAGTTCTTCAAGGGAAAAAAAAATCCCTACTATTTAATCTATGGCCGCCCAACTATACCTGACTACAGAAAAATCTATGTTCCAATAAACTGACAAACAGTGTAGCAGCTTTTATCTGGAAGTTAAAAAAGCACATCGTGGTAACTTTATTTCACATCAGCTGCTTCAGCATTTTGCAATACTGAAATAAAATTATCTTGATTAGGCAGAAGGTAAACTAAATTTCCCTATTTCATTTCTACTCAATTTCTCTACCGAGAAGAGCTATTGCAATGATTAAGATGGGGGCAGGAGCAAGGGCAAAATTCCCTTCTCAACTGTTAACTTTCAGAGTATATATTACCTTAGACAGGAAATAAATGATGGGCATTCTTCCTAGCAACATGCAAAACTCTGGTCTGGATTAAAAACGGGATGTCAAAAACACCTCAAATGCTAGGGTTTTTTTTTTTTAAGATTTATTTATTTTTATTACAAAGTCAGATATACAGAGAGGAGAAAAGACAGAGAGGAAGATCTTCCATCCAATGATTCACTCCCCAAGTGAGCGCAACGGCTGGTGCTGCGTGGATCCGAAGCCACAAGGCTGCAGGGTCCCAAGGCTTTGGGCCGTCCTTGACTGCTTTCCCAGGACACAAGCAAGGAGCTGGATGGGAAGAGGAGCTGCTGGGATTAGATATGGGATTCCGGCGTGTTCAAGGTGAGGACTTTAGCCACTAGGCCATGTCGCCGGGCCCTCAAACGCTAGTTTTTATAAAAAAAAAAATTATAACTTGTCAACTTCTTAGCAATAAAAGCGTGGAATGGAGTCTGTGGTTGTGGCTCAGTAGTCCAATATCTGCAACACCTGCTCCACCTCTGACCAAGTCCCCTACTTAGAACCTTGGGAAGGCAGTGGAAGGCAGTCCAACTGCGTGAGCTCCTGCCATGATGTGGGAGACCTGGCTGGGATTCCAGACCCCCAGCTTCAGCCTGATCCAGCCCTGACTGCTGCCGCCATTTGAGGAGTGAACCAATAGATGGAAGATTCAATTATAACCCTCTCTCTAATTCTAAGGAATGGACCGTACTCACTATGGGAAAATTCCCAACATTCAGTCTCTACCCTGAAGGGCTCACCAGATCCAACTGTTTTTTTTTTTTTTTAAGATTTATTTTTATTATTTCTTTATTGGAAAGGCGGATATACAGAGAGGAGAGACAGAGAGGAAGATCTTCCGTCCGATGATTCACTCCCCAAGTGAGCCGCAACGGGCCGATACTATGCCGATCCGAAGCCAGGAACCTCTTCCGGGGCTCCCACGCGGGTGCAGGGTCCCAAAGCTTTGGGCCGTCCTCGACTGCTTTCCCAGGCCACAGGCAGGGAGCTGGAAGGGAAGCGGGGCTGCCGGGATTAGAACCGGCGCCCATATAGGATCCCGGGCGTGCAAGGCGAGGACCTTTAACCACTTGTGCCACCGCGCCGGGCCCGATCCAACTGTTTTTTACCTTGCAAACCCCTTGACTCTCTTCTCGAACCAGGTGTGGAAATGACCTGTGACCACAACGCCAGGTACTGGCCCAGCCACAGATCTCATCATCATTTAGGAACAGTCAACTGCCAAACAAACGAAGCACATCGGGGCTTAATCAGCCTGCAAACTCACCCCTTTACACCCATAACTAAATTACACACTTCACAAAATCATTCTAATTAACGAGACATGGAAAAAGTAACAGATTCTGAAGTCAGCTCTACTCTAATAATTTCAGGAAGCTATTTATAGGTGTTTCTGTTTTTAATGTGGGGTTTTTTTAAATCTACTCTAAATTTAAACCAGCTCCTCCTTTTCAGAAGTTAAAATGAGCATAAAGTTAAACATAGGGGAAAAAAAACGCAGCAATGAGTACAACTCAGCTTGAGCCCCACTGCAATCAGACTGCTCTTTACAAAGTGCTCTTCTTCCCAGGTGTCAACTTCAGTGAAGAAAACTAAAAACACAATTCTTTCTACTGACAGTGGCCAGTTAATTCCAATTTGGGGTTCCATCAGTCATGCCACACACCATTCTCATAATTCCTTTCCCTAACACTTTTAGGTAACAATAAATTGACTAACTCAAAACATGGGCTTCAAGGGCCTAACTTTACTGAACTACTCCATGAACGCACATTCCTTAAATTAGCATTTGAAATGGGTACACACGGGTGCACAGGCAAGTGCCATTCGATGTATGATCGGCCACAAGGGGCACTTTCCGGCCTCTTTCATCAGAGGACCAGGGCTAAGCACACTCGCCAAGATATCGATTAGCAATGGTTTCTGTTAAGACAGGGAGTGGCAGAAAAGAAGCTTCTGTGTAATGCTATTATACTGGCTCTGACTATGGTCCGGGCCCGCCTCAAAGAAACCAGCTAAATACATACAAAATATATATATATGCATATATATATTTGAAACCAGCTAAATACACACACACACACACACTCGTATACATATTTGAAAGGCAAATCCTAGAAGAATGTAAGGTTAAGTTCCAAAGACTTCGCCCAATGTTCCACAGGTTGCCCCACTCACCTGGCGCAGGACCGAAGGTGCCCCTCGCATATCTCCACTCCTTCAACCCTGGACTCCTCTTTCAGTTTTGGAATCTCTTCCCTCCGGGTTTCTCCTCCGCCCATGGCACTCTCGGGGAGCTCCGGATTCCTCCCGGGGCCCGCCCTCCTCTCAGGTGTCCTTCTCGGGGCCATCCCCCCCTTCCGCGACCAGCACCCACCGGCGCCGCACGACACCCCTACCCGGCTCGTAGACTCGGCATGGTCCACACCCGGGCTCCCCGCGGGCGCCTCGGGCCTCGGCGGCGTCCACACCGCACCCCAGCGCCGCCCCGCAACACGCCCCCCCGTCCGCGGCCCCCTTACCGCACATGATGGAGGAGGCGAGGCACGCAGGGCCAGGGACGAGAGGCTAGCGGGGTCAGGGATACAGACACGAGCTTCGGGAAGGCGATCGTGGGTTGGAGGGTCGGGACGACGGCGACACGACTCCTCGGGGGATGCGACGGCCGAGGCAGCGACAGGATCCTCTACCTCCCGGCTTCGGCCAGCAACCGCCACTGGACCCACCCCTCGGCGCGCACCGCGCCGCCGCCGGCGCGCCCCATTGGGCCTGGTCGGCGCCGCTCACGCGTAGGTCCCGCCTCCCAGCACCGCCCCGCCCCCAGGGTCCACGCAGGCGCTGGAGAGCTGGCAGCGGAGACGTGGCAGCGACTCGTGGCCGCATGCATCCGCCTGAGGTTCCTGGAGCCGCCCGCCCCGGGGCGAGCCGTGGGAGGGACCGGACGGTGCGGGAGAAAGAAACTCATTCTGAACGAGCAGTGACGGAAAGAGGAGGATGGAAATGTTATCAAAGCAAATAGTTTGCTCAGGCCTTCGATTCCGGCCACCCACGTAGCAGGGGGGCCGAGGAGGCCTGAGGAGACCCTGAGGGGACGACAAAGTAAGGATGGGCGAAGAACTGCGTGAGGTGAGGGAGGGAGATGCGGAGATTCTTGGCGGCTAAGCGCCAAGCAGGCTCGGCCAGTCTTTCTGGCTGCGAGCAAGAATATTCTGTTCTTCAGCCCTGGGTAAGGTGCTCCACCAAGGAGGGCCCTCGGCTCGGGTCCCCACCCCCACCTTCGCCTCTGTAACCCCTGGGTTACTAAGGAAGAGGAGGGGAGGAATGCGGGGCGAGGCCCTCTGCTTCTTGCCCCTGGGTTTGAGAGAAAAACTCTGATGGCCCTGGGAAGGACTAGGGATTGCCCAGCTTGGACAATCTCGCGTTTTCCTCCAGAACCATTAATTCCCTGAATGAATGCACCACCCTGCCACGTCAGGCATGATTACAGAGACATGATGTTTCTGAGAATGTACTGCCTGCGTGTTTCCTTTAGGAAGATTTAAATGACGTCTCAAATATAGATGGTTATCAGAACCCTGTTAACTCCCACACTAACCAAATACAACACTTGCACACGGAACTCCTGGAGCTGGGACCATTGTTGAGGTGCCTGACCCTCCTGCCCCTTGCAGCCGTGCCCACGCCCACCAGGCTCAAAGGGTGTCTCCTCCACGGGGCCTACGTTGTCCAGTCTTAAAGCTGTGAACTCTGGACTGGAAGGGCACTTAGGATCCAGCTCCCCGCCAACGCGCGTGGGAAAGCAGCAGCAGATGGCACTCGTGCTTGGCCACTGCCATCCACGTGGCAGACCTACAACTCTTTTTTGATTATTATTTTAAAACTATTTCTGCAAAGCCAATTAAGAAAGTGTTGAATTCTGCCTTTTAAATAGGTACATTTTTAAAAATAAATAAATGCTGACTGCCTCTTGCGGAAAATTTTTTGCCTCTAGTGGACAGACATTGGTTAAAACTCCCTTGTTTATTTTGAGCTGCCCCCAGAATACTTTGGTATTTTTGATTCTTAAAAATACTTCTCAGGCCCGGCGCGGTGGCGCAGTGGTTAAGGTCCTCACCTTGCACGCCCGGGATCCCATATGGGCGCTGGTTCTATCCCGGCAGCCCTGCTTCCCTTCCAGCTCCCTGCCTGTGGCCCGGGAAAGCAGTCGAGGACAGCCCAAAAGCTTTGGGACCCTGCACCCGCGTGGGAGACCCAGAAGAGGCTCCTGGCTTCGGATCGGCATAGCATCAGCCATTGCGCTCACATGGGGAGTGAATCATCGGACGGAAGATCTTCCTCTCTGTCTCTCCTCTTTGTATATCCGCCTTTCCAATAAACAAACAAACAAAAAAATACTTCTCCACTAGATTAAAAGTTTCTTGAGACTACAAGAAGTGCGTGGATACTACAAACCCTAGCACAAATTAAGGCGAAAGAGCCCTGTGTTAGCAAAATTGTTCTTCTCTGGCCAAGTTATATAATGGGATGAGCAAATGACTTTGGGTTTTTCTCATGGCAAAAAAAAAAAAAAAAGCCCCCCCCCCCACTTGCCTTGGAAAGGCTGAAAATTTCACCCTTAATTACCAAAAGTATTTCTCACTTAAAAGCCCTTTGGATAGTTGAAGGTCTTATGCAGGGTCCCTAGATGACCCTGAGCAGTTGAACAAAGGGCTGTTTGTCATTAGGCAATGCAGCTTTAAAATTTTATTTTTATTTATTTGAAAGGCACAGGGAAAGCTCTATCTGCTCTTCACTCCACAAATGCCCTCAGTGGTAAGGGCAGAGCCAGGCCTAAGCCAGGAGCCCAGAACCCAATCTGGGTCTTCCATGCAGGTGGCAAGGACCCAAATCCTTGAGTCGTTATCAAGATGGAAACAGCCAGGGCTCAAACACACACACTTCAAAGTGGGATGTGGGTATTCCAGCTGCTGTGCCAAACACTCCTCACCACAGTACATTACTTAATTTGAAAACAAAGACTAATCCAGCTTCTTGTTTATGTACACCATGAGGGGAAGCAGACCATTGATCAATTGCTTGAATCCTTAAACCTTGATGGAGTTCCAGGCTTCCTGACTTCAGCCTGGAAGATCTTTGTCTTTTTAAAAACATTTATTTATTAGAAAGGCAGAATTATAGAGTAACATTGCATCTGCTTGTTTATTCATGAAATTGCCACAATTGCCAGGGATGGGCTAAGCTGAAGCAAGCAGCCTGACACTGCATATAGATGACAGGGATCCAAGTCCTTGAGCCATTCTTCACTGCTTTCCCAGATGCAGGGAGCTGGACCAGAAGGAGGACATCTGGGGCTTAAATGGGATGCCACTGTCACAGGCATTGGTTTGACTAGCTTTGCTACAACACTAGCCCCATCTCTTTGCTCTTCAAATAAAATGAAAATAAATATTGAAGAAGAAACAACTGTTAAAGCTGCCACCTGTGATGCCAACATTTCACGCGGGTACTGTTTCTGGTCCTGACTGCTGCTTTCCAGTCCTGCTCCCTGCTCTTAGGAGAGCAGTGGGAGATGGCCCAAGCACTTGAGCCCTTGCACCCACATGGGAGACTTGAATGAAGCTCCTGCCTCCTGGCTTCTGCCTGCCCAGCCGTCTGGGGAGTGAGCCAGTTGATGGAAAATCCCAATCTCAATCTCTCTCTCTCTAACTCTAGCTATCCATCCATCTGTGTCTGTGTGTCCATGTCTCTGTAACTTTTAGATAATTTTTTTGATAGATAATTTTTTAAAAGAAACGAAAGCTTCGTTGGATATACCTCTTAGCCTAAGAGGCTTCACCTAAGAGGTTCAGGAATTGCCAGGGAGCTAAGGTATAATGCCATGCATAAGAGAACACCTGTTGATGCCGCAAAGACCAGCAGTTCTGCCAAAGTACTTATGCTCCAACTGAGATAATCCACTGAAGCCCTTACATTCCCTGTCTGCCTGCTACTCCGTGACAGTCCGCTTGTCTTATCCATCTCCATTTTACAGCTATTTGGGAAGGAACTTATCCACCAATTATGAGGAAAAAGTTTAAAGGCTAGTATTTTCCCATCCTACCTTGAACAACCCCATTAACCCACCACAACAAAGAACCCTCTGTAACCGTGTACCAGTCAGATACAGAAGAACTCTATTTGACCATCATCTGTGCAGAGCTCTGGAGTGACACCTTTGGAAATAAAACCTGGAGGAGAAATAAGTGAATGAGGAAGTGATCTATGAGGAAAGGAGGCATCTAGATCAAATCTGAACATCTGAGGAAACACAAAAGTAACAGAAGTTGGTAGGAAAACAAGTTCACTTTAGTGCAAAAAATTTTAAATCTATGCATAAGATTTTCAGATGTGCATTTTCCATGAACTTTTTGAAAATTTCTTATACCCATGAATTTTGACATGGTACCAAAGTCAACTCATCAATTCTATTTTCCATGAACTTTTTAGAAGAAATTGTCTCCTCTGTCTAGAAAGTTCTAAACTACTTTAAACAAAAGGAGGAAAAAAGTTAGTAATGATATTAAAGAAGTGTCATTCACCATCTATTTGTGTGATCTACTTCCCTGTTAAAAATTTAGTCCACTTAAATCAGACAGCTCTCAGCATCTATTTTGCCTTATAACCTGAAGGCCTGAAGTCTATCAGGGTTCCAGTTGCCATTTGTTTTCTCTTCTTTTTCTTTCTTTCTTTATTTTTATTGGAAAGTCAGATATACAGAAAGGAGGAGAGACAGAGAGGAAGATCTTCCATCCATTGAGCTGCGCCAATCCAAAGCCAGGAGCCCAGAGCCTTTACTGGGTCTCCCACATGGGTGCAGGGTCCCAAGGCCTGGGACCATCCTCCACTGCTTTTCCAGGCCATTATCAAGGAGCAGGATGTAAAGCAGGGCTGCTAGGATTAGAACCGGCACCCATATGGGATCCTGGCGCGTGCAAGGCAAAGACTTTAGCTGCTAGGCTATCATGCCAAGCCCCAGTTGCCATTTTTAAAGAAATGAAGAACCATAGCTGAAAGCTTTATAAGATTTTAAAAATTTTTTAAATGTTCCCTTATTTGCTATTTTGTTATCCTTTGTCTCAATTCCAATAATAAAGATCAGTAAAATTATTAAAGTCACAGTAGCCTGTAAATAATATGGGGGAGGGACAAACATTTAGTATAGCAAGTAAGATGCTGCTTTGGATGCCCACATCCCAAGCTGGAATGATTAGATTCAGGTCCCTGCTCTGATTGTGAACTCCAGCTTCCTGCATATACAGACACCACTTGGAAGGCAGGAAGGCAGGCCATATACACCAGGTGATGGTTGTTTGAATTCTTGCCACCCATTTGGGAGTCTGGATTGCATTTCAGAATCCTGGCTCTGACCTGTTCCAGCCCTGATTGTTGCAGACATTTTGGGAGTGAAAAACCTGGTGAGTCATTCTTTCATATATATATCATATTCTCTGCCTTTCAAATATATAGCATTTTTAAAAAATATGGAATGCTTCACAAATTTGCATAGGGGTTATGCCAATCTTCTCTGTATTGTTCCAATTTTAATATATGTGCTGCCAAAGTGAGCACTCAGATAAATAACTTTTAGTAGAACATAGAATCTTAGGATGCATGTGTATGTCTCAGATTTTAGGATGTATATATACTGCAA